TATTTCAACATTGCTCAAGATTCACTCTTTGCTTTGAACTTTTCTCCTGGCTACAATTGTTCAATATTTTTATTGAAATAGAAAAGAAGAATCTGGTGTAGAATCAGAAGAGTGCCTTGATCACAGTAGGTGCTCAGTAAATAAGTGTTGAATGAGTGAAAAGCAGTAATTTGCTACTCCCAACTGCTTAATGAACGACTTCCTTTTTATGAATGCTGGTTTGTTGAATGTTCTTAAATTCCAGTTGTGTCTGAATAGGGTCCCCATTATTTCCACATAGTATAAAGACACGATTGTCATGATAACAACATGTTGCTAATTTTAAAACAATGACGTCTCAAGGTCAGCCTCAGTGTTCTTTAGTCTTCATGGTGTAAGGACCTGGGTCATCATTACACCCATCAGCTCCGTTGCCAGTTTTCGAACATGGAAATCCTCCAGCCACAGTCCTTATCCCAAACCAGTGTTACAGAGGCTATTAAACACTGAGTCCCTAAACTTCCATGACTGGGGAGTGGGAAGAAAGAGGAAAAGTTGAACAGGGCTCTCTATAGGAAGTATTGTGTTTTCAGCTCTCACCCTAATGAGGAGGCTATTTTCTACAGGGCACTGCCCTCAGGGAACAGACTAGAAGCTCTCCCCCTTACAAGTAAGGGGCAGAGTGTAGAACGGGCAAATCTCAAAGAGAAGTTATTTCAGTAGCAAGTAATGATTGGCAGGTGTGTTATAGAGCATCCTGGGAGGAAAGCAAGGCCATTTCAGTGGTTCGTTTCAACCACGGCAACTGAACAAGTGCAAAGGCAGGACCTAAGAATAAACACTGTAATGTGAGGATGCCAGCATTTCAGTCCTCAACATCATGGACACTCAGAAAAATATCAGCAAAATTGGGAAGGTTCAGGAATATGTGGAATCTGAACTTATCCACAGTGGAGAAATTTTTTTTAAGTCCATATTTGTTTAAAAATTTTCAGCAATTCCTTTTGAGGGGATCATTATTAATATCAGAACTTCTTGTGCATAGTTATGTTTAATCAAATTTTATGGTAAAATGTGTACTTCTTATTCAATAGTGTAGACCCAAACATTCTTTTTTTTCATTTATCCAGTAAATAATGTTTGGATACCTGCTCTGTGTTAGGCCTGTTCTAAGTGCTGGGAACATATCAGTGAACAAAACACAGTCCCTACCCTCTTGGATCATACCTTCTGGCACAGGGAGAAACAATACGTAACTCAGGTGGTTGGACTACCACAGAGAAGCATAAAATGTGGCAAGAGTCATAAGAGGTGGAGTTGCGGTGGGGAGGGGAGGTGTTGAGATTTTGCTGGGAGCTGAAAGGATGTTTGAGCAAAGTCCAAAACAAAGTGAGTAATCCAGCCTGATAGCTCTCTGGGGAAACAGTTTTTGTAGGTATAGGGACCAACAGGTGCAAAGCCTTGACGGGGTAGCAAACCTGACGCAGTCAGTGAGGTGGAGAGGAGTCAAGATAGAAGCTGGAAAGGGAGCAGGGGCCGGAACACGTAGGGCCTTGCCAGCCACAGCAAGGTCACTGGATTTTACTCTGAGTGAGATGGGAGCCAGTGGAAAATTTGAACTGGGGAGTTATATGATCTGACTCGGGTTTTAAGTTTTAAAAGGGTCACTCTGGCTGTTGTCTTGAGATTATATTGTAAGGGAGCAAGAACAGAAGCAGAGACCAGTTAGGAGGCTACTGTAATAGTCCTGGTAAGAGATGATGGCAACTTAGGACAGGTGGTTGGAAGTGAAGGTGGTGGGAAGTGATTGAATTCTGAATATACAGGGTGACCATAAAATCTGGAAACATAAATATTATATTTTATCGTGTATTAGAACACGGCACTGATAAACCATTTATTACCTACTGACCACACATTACCCAGACTTGGGAGCCGCCTGTATTAAAGGTGAGCTGATGGCTATGATGTGTGGTATGAGAGACAAAGACAGGGGTCAACGATGATGCCAAGATCGTGGCCTGAGAAGCTAGAAACAAGGATGTGTCATTTACTGAGATGGGGGAGATGGTTTTGAAGATCAGAAGCTTTATTTTGAACATATTAAATTCGAGATGTCTACGAGAAACACCAGTGGGAAGGTCAGGAGAGGTTAGGGCTGGTAAAAACACCTTGAGAGTTGCTGAGAGAGAGAAGGCTGTTTAAAGCTGTGAGAGTGGACAAAAACACCTAAAGAATGAATACAGATAGAGAACAGACCCCTCAAAGCTGAGAGGTCAGAGAAATGAGAAGAAACCAGCCAAGGAGATGAGAAGGAGCAGTCACTTTTATAAAACTCTGAGTTCAGGGGGAAAAAACACACCAAGTTACTGTTGTGAAACCATGTCTGTATTTGGTGAATACTACAGTATTGCAACTAAATTATGGTGCCCCCGAATGGAGGAAAGCAGATAAGAAGGACCTTTTACATAATGCCACTTTCACAGAGTTAATTCCACTAGGTAGGTAACACTTTATGCTTTTGTCTAATCGATTCCCTTTCGAAATCACCCAGAGATTCATTCTAAAAGAAGAAGATGAATGAGTTTAAAAAAAAAAAATCTGGGAATCTCTGACCTTCCCAAAATACAACGGGTAGACTTGTGACTGAGAATGCCAATGGAGCTCAATTAACATCAATCACCAAAGATTAATCCTTAGGGTGGGGGAAAGCGCATAGAATTGGATGCAGCAGATTTGGGTTCAAGTTCTAGCTAAACTACCTGCTAGTTGAATGTTTCTGGGCGATTCCTGTAACCTGTTTGTTCCTGCAAACTCACCTCAAGTTCACCTCCTCCAAGAAGCCTTCCCTAACTTTGTACATTTAGACAAATCTCCTTTTTACTCCCATGTCGCTCTATACTTGCCTTTATCATGGCAACTTATTGTAATTGCTAACTTATTCCTGTCTCTTCTATTAGACTCTAATTTCCTTGTATTCCCATCGCTCAGCACAGTGCCTGACACCTAGCGGGTGCTCAGTAATGTAGAATGAATGCATGTTCCCCAAACTCACTGCCTCATATGTGCAATGGGGTAATTGATGCCTACTTTTCAGAGTTCCTTTGAAATTTACATAAGACATGCACAGAAAAAAATTTTCATAAACTATAACTCAATATATAAAATTCTTGTTGTTTCTCCCCCACTACTTTATAGAATAACACCTTCGCCTGGTATTCAAGGCCCTGAACAATCTGTCTCCTGGCTGCCTTTTCAATTTCCCTCTGGCTCCCACCCCCACTATTTTCTATTATAGCAGGCTAAGCAATATTCCAAACACACCAACGTCTTTCACATCTCCTATCATTTTATTTTATACTTACCTATCTACATGTCAGTATCAATAATGTGAGCTGTTACGATAATAATTATAATTGAAGTAGTAGGAACTAAAAACAAATGTTACTTTCATCTACTAAGTCTTTTGCCTCCACCCAAGTGGAATGTTGACATAGTCCACTCAACCGCCAACATGCTTTAAAACAAGGGTTTCATTATAGTTTCAATGCCTAATGGTAAAATCACCTCGTAGTACGGACAAGATCCTTCATAATCTGACTTTCCTCTGCCACTTCATCTCCCTCTGCTATTCTACTGATAGCCTTTGCAATTGCCATAGTAACTACAGCGCCGGCAGTTTTACCAAGATAATAGGTGCTCTCAGCTTGCAAGCCTTTACACATGTGTCCTTTGCCTCTAATGGCCTCCTCTACTTTGTCCATTCAGTGAACTCCCTGTCATTCTTTAAAATTTGATTCTGATATAAACTCGTCTGTGAAACCTGCCCTGAAGAACTCCTTGGCAAAATTAGACGCTTGCTCCTCTCTTA